CACATATATACACATATTTTTATATGTCTGTATATATTTTTATGTGTACACATTTATTTTGTATTTAGAAATGTCTTATATTTTTAAATATCAATAGAGAAAAAAAATATAAAAATAAAAAATTAGAAAAAACTATATATAACGGATTGGATATTCGGATAAACGGTTATTTAAACGGATGCATATGCGGATCGGATTTTAAACGGATCGGATATACAATTACCAAATCCGTATCCGTTTAGTAATCGGATATCCTTAATCGGATACGGATAATATCCGTTTAAAATGGATGCGGATATTTCCTCTTTAAACGGATACGGATGCGGACGGTAATCGGATTTTCGGCTATCCGTTTACAGCCCTAAAATTCGACATTTAAAATAGAATAATATAATAGATTTAATACATATTTTTTGATATTTTAAATTTATTTAATAGAAAACGTAAGTGTAACGTGAATTTAAAAATTTAAAAAACCAAAGTCATCGGGTCGATCCGAACCCGATGACACTGGGCCATGAACTTACAATTCTCAACCCGAATCCGGAATAACCTGAACTCGAAGTGATCGAACCCGAACCCGACCTGACCCACCGATTTGCTAGCTCTATTTAAAATTAATATCATCCTATATCACAACCATCTCAAGTAATGTGTTTTGATACCTCTCAATCTTGGGAGACATTAACTGAGAAGTTTGATATCTTTTAGACCTGATAGTAATTTCTCGACACACCCCATCCTCGTACCAATTGTATCTGCTCGTTCACACATCATCACTGGCCACACTTTGTCGTCAAACACCAGCCACCTTTAGTCACTAATCACATGTTGTCCTCGACTATCTTTCATCTGTCACTAACAATCACCATTTCAAATCTCTCTTAACACATCTATCGAATCAATCTCTAATGATTAGAGTATTTTAATTTGGCATACCCTATTTGTAAGGGTTATGTTACTCGAGTCTTGCACACCACACATGCACACCACTTCATACACCAGTATTTTGCACAAACAAAGCACTGGTAGAGAGTGTCAAAAAATGTGAATTGACATTGGCAATTGCACTATCAAACTAGTGATTGAAATCGTACTCTTTGGAACTGAGGTCCTAGCTCTAGTCCAGTACCTATTTTTTTAAATTTGAATTTTTAGTTAATTTAGATAAATAATAAATATAGATCATACTTGTATAATCTATGATAACTATACTCCATTCATTCTTACAAAGTATTTATATAACATAAATACAATACACTTTCCTTTAAAAATACTCTATTCAATTAAGTATACGCAGAATTAAAACAGTTCACAAATTTTACATAATCCATAAATTCTAAACAATCTAATACGAAGTATAATATTTTAAAATTTGGACAGAATACTTTGAAAGAATGTCCTACATCGAAAATGTGGCCCAATCGAGTACTCAAATACTCCATCCTAAATTTTATCATGCATGGTACGTATCGAAGTCAGTTTTGGTTCACCTCATTCATCAAGGTGTCCGTTGTCTATATGTCCATTCGTAGTGGCCCTAGGCTTGAGTCTAGTAATCTGTATGGAAAAGATATCCAATGCCATGTGACCCATTTAACCCGATTTTTCGTCTGGAAGTTCACATCCAATGACTCGGGGTTCTTTAGGTGTTGCCACTCAAATATTCATTTCATGGGATGGGATCATGGGAGTCCATTTGCAAGTAGTCAACTGATTAGATTTAAAATGACCTGATTGTCTACTTGAGCATGAGTGTTAGAGAGTATTCGAAAAAATGAAGACAATATTAATCATTGCTGGACATTATTCCTTCTACTAGGTCATTATTAAGTCCTATTTAGGGAATAAGAAAGTTTAAGTTCTACGTTAAGAAAGTCATTATGTTTTAGTCCTATTTAGTGCAAATTTCACTAAATTCAATCTTTTAATGTGATTTAACTGAGTTAAGTGTCTTATGACTTATTCCAGTTCTCCTATGCCTCATCCTAAATATTATCAAATACACCCACTTAGAGATATTTGTAGATGGATATCAATATAAGTCTTTGAAAGTATTTGGACTTTTTAATATAGAGTATCATTAGATTTAAACAAATATTTTAAAATTTTAAATACATTCAATTTTTTATTCATAATACATCAAAAATGTTAACGACTTTTAAATATCTTAATTGAATTTGTATTGAATTTTAGAATCCAAAAAAATGCAATATCTAAGTTCAAAATATCCCTCAAAATTTTATAGATTTTTAAAAATTTAAACTGAATACACCTAACACCATGTTTGCTTCAAGAAAATTGAAGAGAAAAAAATAAGAGGGAAAATAATTTTTTGTTTAGCTAGAAGAAAAAGAAAAGTGAAAAAAATAAATATAAGAATAAATGAACCAAAGAGTAGAAAAAACTAATTTCTTTCATTTCAGTAAGAAAAAGAAAGAAAATTCTTTTATTTTCATTTTGGTTTCCAAACATAATGTAAACTTTTTAAAAATCAATTACTACCTCTGTTATAGTGTATTAATTCAGTTTAATTTTTTTTTGAATCATATCAGGCTGAGTGTGAACCTTGATTAAATAAAAAATTCAATGTATTATACTCCTCCTGCGACCAATTTCCCCTATTCCAAATTTCAACTGGTAATTTCTCAGCAGCGATCGAGTCGTAAGAAGAATAAGGAGAAATGCTGCTGGCCGTGTTGATTGCCAACTCCGAGGGGAACATTCTCGTCGAACGGTAACGTCAAAATCTCTTTCTTTTTTTTTAAAATATATATCATTTCAATTCCATTGTGATCCTTTTAGTTCAATTTTTTAATTTACAATTGTATTAAATTTAAATTGTTTGATTGGATGAATGTTATTATGCTTAGAACTCGATCATTTTCTTCGTATAAAAATCTACTACTGTATGGAGTATATTTCTACTAAATTTGTTTTCAATCATCTGGATCTAGGTCTGAGCTTTGGCCGTACGTTTAGTTCTTAGAAGATTTTGGCTAATCTTTTCAAATTTAGTGCTGATATACGAATGAAATGTCAAGCATCCGACATCTCCTTAAAGAATGAACAAGAAAACCATTTCATTTATAGATTAGCTAAAAGACACGAAAGAGTGAAAATACAGCAGATCTTGTACAAATAAGAAGCAAAGATACTTCATTTGTCCCTAAAAGAAGTTCCTGTTGCGGTTTATGGTTTTTGATTGAGATTATTTTCAATTTATTTGAAAATGCGTGTAGAATTAAAAAAATAAATTTATATATACTCCCTCTGACTAATGGGAGAAATAATGAGGTATATTTATAGTTGATTTTCCAATTTTGCCCTTGATATGATGGATAAAAGTAAGATGTGATAGGTAGATTATTAGTGAAAATGTATGATGTCACAGGTATGATAAGAATTAGTAGGGGTAAAAGAGGATTTTTAATATAAAGTGAAAGTGTTTTGGTGAAAGAAAAAACAATGAAAGAGGAAGTGTTTTCAAAAACAAATGGAGTACTAAATAGAGTGTATCTCTTTCTGGAAAGGTAATTGTTATAGTTGTAGCTGTAGAGAGAGCTCTTGGGGAAGACTGATAGATTAGTGGTATTGTGTATTGGTGTGAAGGAGTTGCTGCATGTTTCTTCATGTTGATTATATGAATTGCTCTTAGTGTTACTGATATTTTTCTCACAGGTTTAATGGTGTGCCTGCAGAAGAACGTTTGCATTGGCGGTCTTTCCTAGTCAAGCTGGGAGCAGAAAATCTGAAAGGAACAAAGAATGAAGAACTCCTTGTTGCTTGTCACAAGTATTTGATTCTTTTACTCTTTGATACTTCTCATTGTGATTCTTTTGCTTGTCACATGTATTTGATTCTTTCCTGAAGATCTCTTCGTGTGGGTGGTTAACGATTTGTCAATTCTCACTCTTCCTTTTTTTGAACACAATCATCAATTACTCATCAGATATTTGAAATGCATCTCTGTCTACTTCTATATTTACTTCTCAGCTATAAGCACCCCCTAAGGGCATGTTTGGATCCTACAAAATGCTAGGCAATTTAAAAGATGCTTAGGAACGTTATTTTTGTTGTGTTTTTTTTTTCTATCGGGAAATGTAAAGGAAGAATGTATTGTGATCTATAAAACTATACACGTGTTCTGGATTTCCTAGTCTTTATACTCCGTATAATAGAAATCAATAAATAAATTGTGTTTTGAAGAAATTTAAAAAAAAAGATTGAGCTAATACGGAGTATATATAAAATATATAGGGAAAAAAAAAGATTGAGCTTTTGTTCTGTTCCTCCAATCTTCTTTCCTTCAGATTTTTCCCTATATATTTTCCTCCCTGTTTCTATCCCTAGAATTTTCCAATTTCCAAACAGACCCTATGGAGTTATAGAATATCTGAACTGGAGTCTTATCTAAAAGATGAAGTTGTAGTTGTTACAAGTATGTTGTGTATCCGCAAATAGCATCCCTAGGGCTAGGGGTAGTTTGGGTATTCAACTTCTCATATAATCATATTTACATCTTTTATCTACATGGGCAGATCAGTTTATATTGTGTACACGTTGCTTGGAGATGTCAGCATTTATGTTGTTGGCAAGGATGAATATGATGAACTTGCATGTGAGTATACTATATGAGAGTAATTATTTTCAAGTTGATTGTAGCTCCTTAAGAAATCTTATGTGGTATTTGCTCTAATCATTCAATCTGTTTGGCTTTGTCAAGTGTCTGAAGCAATTTTCGTGATAACATCGAGCATTAAGGACGTATGTGGAAAACCTCCATCGGAGCGCCTTTTCTTGGACAAGTATGGAAAGATTTGCCTGTGCCTGGATGAGATTGTGTGCAAGGTGAGCAAAAATCCTTGAATTTGTAGGTTAGTTTGGAACTCGGAAAATGTTACTCCCTTTGTCCCAAAATTATCTTCTCAAGTGAAAATGGCACGAAAACTATGAGAGGATAGAAAACTTTATAAATGTCCTTGCCAACTTTTTTTTGGTAAAAGTGAAGTCACATGTAAATATGTAGGTTATTGATGGTAAAAATGTATTTTTAGTTGAAAAAAGTGAAAGGTGCATGCAAGAAGAGAAAATGAGAAGTTGATTTTTGGACAACATAAAAATGTGGGAAGTTAATTTTTGGATGCAGAGAGTAGATAAAGAAAATAGGTAGGAAATTAGAAAGGAAATTAGGAAGGAGTGAAAGTTAATGGGAAAATAAAAAAATGATTCACAGTTCACCCAAAAAAATCATTCTGTCTAATTTTGAATATATGCATAGTAAAAGTTAAAATATTATAATCAAATTTGTTTAATCTAAAACCAAACATAAAATTTATTTTCCTTAGACATTTTATTTTCATTCCCTATCATTTTCCGAATTCCGATCTTAGTCTATATAGCCTTGTGGCATCTGATGTTCCATTACAGAGCCAGTCAAAAGCTTATTTGCATGTTATCGTATACAATATCAAATTTGCATTTGAACCTATATCAACTACTATCACATTTTCCTACTTTTGAATTTGTGGCGGAATATGTGCTGACTTGTAGAAAAGAAAGTGTTTGGTAACATCTATTTTAGCTAAATAAGTATGATGAAAGGTACTTTTATTCTTGTTTTGAGCAGAATAAGCCATACAAGGTCACCAAACAGTGCCTAAATTTCGTGCCACCAACTCCATTCATGATATGTTTTAGTCTAATATTGCATACATTTTGACCTCCAGATCCCAATAGAGTTGAGATTATAGTAGTGTTTGTTTTTGTCCATGTTGACATATGCCAAAATGGCCATTCACTGGATATTTAGTCCTACATACAAAAATAACTTCTGGCTTTTATGTGGTTAGATTGCGTACATTTTGACCCTCCAAATTCCAACCGAGTTAGGATTATACTTAGGGTCTGTTGTGCAAGTCTCTATGTGTGAAAACGAACAATCATTTCATATTTAGTCTTATATGCAAAAATACTCTTTTTTACGGGATAATCACATTGCATACATATTAACCCTCTAGACACCCCTACGGAGTTGGGAATAGAAAAAGGTGGAACGCCAACCCCGGGCCAGACACCCCCTACTAAGATCATGGTATAATCTTAGTCTAGTCTTTATAGAGCCGCCACGTGCCAAGTGCGCACAAGGAGCTATTACAAAGAATAAGACTCCTCCACTACCGCTGCCGGGATTCGATCCTAAGATCTTTGGGCATGACATCCTCCCCTCAGACCAATTAAGCTTAACTATGCGGGCAAAGAGTTGAGATTAGAGTTTGGGTTTGTTAAGGTGCAAGTTGCCAATTGCCATGTGCCAAAATGACTATTCATTTGATACCTAGTCCTATATACTATGGCCAAATGGTGTCTGGTTGTTGTGTACTGGTGTTTGCTATGAGTACTCTTTGTACTGTATTAATTTTGTGTTTGGTTCACAGGGGCTGCTGGAGAACACAGAGAAAGAGAGAATCAAACGGCTTGTAAGGTTGAAGCCGCCTGTTGAGTTCTGAGTGACGATTCATCGTCTTCTCCATTTACTTGTCTGGAAAAGAATAAACTTTATGGTTTCCAAATTCCTCTAACTAAACAAATGCCTGTTTGGAATCTGCTATCCTAAACATTATTATGTGTTTGGTCTTCTTTTTGGTTGTTTTGCTTGGGAGGGTTTTGGGTACTTGAAAAAGTGACATTTGTATAGTAATACTCCGTAATACTCCCTAATGCTCCATTTGTTTTAGAATATTTGTTAATTTAACTATTTCAAGTCAAATTACACTAATTTTATTTGTGAACTACATCAAATTACATTACATATTATTAATGCAATGAAATAATTTTTTAACTCCATCTGTCCCAATTTTAATCACATTTTTCAGTTTATAATGTTTGACTGAAGTTATTTTCAAATCATTTTATATGAAAAATAATATAGAATTAAATAATAAAATTTACATATATAAAAACTAAATCAAAGATTTATAGAAGTGGTGATGACATGATTATATTATTTTATTAAATGATTAACAAAAATAGGAAAAGAAAGTGCATAAAATTTAACCCTATTAATAGGAAACAAGCAATTTAAATTGAGATAAAAAAGAAGTAAAAAATTTCTACAAAATAAATACTCCGTATAATATGTTCGTACCAATATGCACAAAAAATTTATTTAATTGAAAAAAGTTTCATCTACTTTAAAAAACTGACTAAATACTTTGAAATGGAAGTAATACTCCGTATATTTAAAGACCTATAGTGAGGATGGGGTGGGATGTATGCATAATCTTTTAACACATCTTCAATGGGTTGTGATAGCCACACAACAAAAACACTAATTGTGTGCCGTGAACTAAATATACACCGTAATATATAATTATTACGGAGTACTATTAAACAAAATTATTTGAACATAATTAATTTAAAAGCACAAATATACTCCCTCCATCCGAAATTAGTTGTCATAGATTAACTTCGCAAGATTTAAGAGTAGTGCTAAAAAAATAGATTGTTAAAATTTAATTAGAAAAAAAATGGAAGTATAAAATTGCCTAAAATAACATTTAACAACCCAAATCGGCAGCTGTATGATAATACTACAAGAGAGTGCTCATTTTATACAGAGCTCATGGAAGAAGACTTCCCAGAACTGACTGTATATATGATCGTCTCCAATGAGTGAACGCCGACTGACTCATTGTATCCTCAACTTCTTCTTCAGATCCACAACCAGCCTCCATTCTTCCACAGAAAGATCCTTCTGTACAATTTTGCAACACAAGAAGAAGAAGAAGAAGAATACATAAAGAAGAATACATAAGTTTTGGAAAGCATGACTTTGAAATATATGTGTGCCCTTACAAAAGATATATATATATATATATATATATATATATATAGAGAGAGAGAGAGAGAGAGAGAGAGAGAGAAGAATAGGGATACCCTGAAATGTTCCTTGAGTACGTCGATTGATCTCCTGGAAATCTTGCTGACAAGTTCGTCTCCCACATCAAAATGCCGGCCAAACATCTTCTGTCGCTCTTCAGAATTTGACCCAACTATCTGTGAAATCAACACGATTTAAAAAAAAAATCATGTTTCGAGAAAATGCGGTTAGGAGTGAGTAGTGGGTGAGTAAGGGCATTAAAGCACCCTTAAAAAGATTCCTCAAAACAAAATTCAGCTGGATTCGTACCTGAACGGTTACAGTTTGTCCTCTTTTTGCAGAGTCAACAGGTTTATCGTTGTTACGGATAGATGCAATCCGACCAATCTCAACCATGTCCCTTGAAGCCAATGGAGGAACACAAATAGGAGTTCCAACCTGAGGAGATCGCCAAACAATGAGCAAATCCCCGTAAGATATATGACAGAAGAATAATAATGCCTTGCTGATACACTTCTAGCTGACTACATGTTTGGGATTGTACTTAGTGAAGTCATTATAGAATATCCAATTGTACCCCAAATATAACTGCATTCAGATCAGATCAGAACTTATTCCAATCAAATCAGCAAAAGAGAACATGGCCTAAATGTGCATTAGCTAACCATTAAACAGAAGGTTAACAAATTTATCCAGGAATAAGGTGACCTTATGCAACACCAAGCTATCAAGAAAATAAGTGTCGAAAATAATAATAAGATAATGATGAAAGAGGTGTTAATTACCCGAGCAATGCCATCTAAAACGTCAACTCCTAGAATGATGGGATCCTTCGTATTGAATACATGAGGCAGAATCTTAAGTCTACATGGAAAGACGGCTTCATCAGCAACTTCCTTCTTCTTTTCCTCCTTGAGATGATCAATGTAGGCTTTGAATTGATGAAACAAATGATATATGACATCAGCAATGAATATCTTCACACCATACTCATCTGCAAGTTCACGAGCTTCTGGTGTAACTTTAACATCAAAGGCAAGGATTGTCGCATATTCTTTCTTCTTCTCAAGCATGACACTGGCTTTCATGACATCCTTTTTGTGTATGGGGCCTATCCCAATGCCACTAACTGGTATGCTAACATCAGGACTCTTTAGAAACTCCAGCAAAGCTTCTAGTGATCCAAGCGTAGATGCCTGCACATAAACACCCTCTCCACTCTTATCAATTCTGCTCATCACGGACCTCATATCTTCCATGGCTGCTTCTTTTATGTGATCCACATCATCATCTGGTCCCACAACATACAAACTAGTGCCGGCAATAGCATGTTCAAGGCCCTGCACAAGAACCCATCGCAAACAATTAACTCAAAAAAAGATACTTTCAGTAACAACATTGCACATGAGCAACCCACTTGGGCGTAGTTGCTAATTGTGTGGGTGTGTGCTCAACTTGAAAATCCAGAAAGACCAAAAACCTAGGCACAACAATGATGGTGTGATCAATCTCCCCCTTTATCGAATCTAAAGGGTCTACTCTGTGAATCAATTACTGAAGTTCTAATTACATTTTTATGATTTATTACATACACATAATGGCACATCAAACAGATTCCCAGCTAATAAGGAACTGACAGAATGATTGACTCTTATAACAAAATAGAGGTGCATTGACTACATGGATAACTGTGTATTTAAAAGTTTCTGTATGGAAAATATGTAAGGGAACAGAGAGTAGAGAGCAAGATAACACAAAATTAAAAAATAACACAGTTACAAAAATTAAATTGACTAAGACAAAAAAAAACCTGGCAATATTAACCCAGCCTGTTTTTTACCCAAGACCTGAGACCCGAGCCAAAATAGTGGTTTTGAACAAAGGATTTGTTGACCGAATCAGAAGATGAACAAACCCGAAATGACACTAAAAAAGGGTCAAAGCCAACCTAACGCACCTGAACGACCCACTAACGTAAGAGTTTAAAAAAAACTTATGTACTTTAATATGAAAAATAATGTGATAAAAATAAGGCTATTTTCTTATTTTTTTTCATAATTACTCAGTTTTAGTGTAACTCTGCCTATGACATAGCTGGTCCCAAGCCCGGATAAAAGGAGAGGGTTGTGTTAGGTCTCGGCAACCAACGTAAAACTTCGTCGAATCTTCATGACGTGGATAAACACAAATACTCATTTTTAGTGTATAAACTTATAGCTTCAAACAAGTTTTTAATAATATTACATAGTTATCTTACATTCTTTTTTCAAAATTGGTACTCTATGAATATATATTATTCTTATACTATTCATAATTTTGTAAAATATATCTAAAAAGTAATTATAAATTCAAAAAATATTCTAATAGCTTTAATATATGTATTTTGATATTTTATTATTTTTTAGTGCAAAATGCAAGTGCTAGTATGAATTTCAATTTACTAAAAAAATGCTCATAACCCGTTGGGTCGACAGGGATCCAATGACATTGGGTCATCAACAAGTTCTCAACTTGAACCCCAACTTACCCAAACCCAATGTGACCAAACCCGAACCGGACAGACCGATTTGCCAACTCTATAGACAAACAATATTTCATATTCTATAGATGTTCTCATGTCATTTAAATGTTTGGAAATCACAATATTATGCAAAAAAAGATGGTGGAATGTATACGCTTCTATTAAAATCTACATTAGCATGTAGTTGAATAATTACATACAAATTAGCCATTACCTGTGCAGTAATCTTTATGCCTTGCGCAGCCTTGATTTCTTTGTGGTGCAAATATGTACCCTGCAGACAAAATAGAAATACCCTTTATAAGATCAATTATGCATCACAAAAAACCTAAGGCTACATGTATATTCACTTTCATATCCATATATGTTCTCAATCTAAATTGGATTCCTTTTGTTCTGAACCCTCTGCCACGTGCAGTGAGAAAAGCACATAGTTATCAGGTGTGGCAAGACATAACCCGAGCGGCCCAACTAGGCGACAATTAGGCCAGAAGAAAAGTTTTGAACAGTAATTTAAATATAGCATACATTATATTGTACTGCGTAATTTGTAACTTTGAGTGAGTCCCATCCACTCAAATCTACGCCACAGTTAATATCAACATAACTAGAGACATAATTAGCAAAATACTCCCTACGTCCCAAAAAAGTGAAAAAAAATTCCTCTTAACTACTCTAGGCTTCCAATTGCTTTTGTCGCCACTTGTTTTGTAGAACTCTTGTTGTAATTTTAAAATAGATGAGATTTTGAATGTTGTTCGAAATTGAAAAAGTTTTTTGGGACGGATGGAGTATCATTAAGTGCTTGTTTTGAAGAGGCTATCTAACGGAAATGTTAAGCTTAGGCATTTTCAAAGTTATTCTACACCATTACAAAATTATTTAAAACCTTAATGCTAATAAAAAAAACTTTGTTTCAAAACAATGTGTAAACAAACAAACCGAAATTAGAAAAAAAACAATATCATAGAGAGAAAATCTTCAAAAAAATACAAACAAAAGCAGCAGGTTAGAAAATTAGGAAAAACAACTGTAAAAGATGAGAGAACTAAACCAGAAAATCCTAGACTGAGAAAAAGTTCTAATTTTAGAATACTTCATGTCTTCATCAATTGTAGAAAAAACACAAGGGAACAAAATTTATTTGAGACAATACACGAGAAAAATAAATGTATCATCTCAATACAAGAAATGCACAACATAAAAAGTGAACCTGGCAAGCTCCTCGTATACATCTAGGTGACACCTTAATAACTATGGAAAAGTGGTTAATAGGGTAAACCCAAAATTACTAAGAAGCATATTTACTTAAAGAATACTATGTCCCTATAAAGAAGCCATGTTAATTACGAGTAAAAAAACCATGATTAACTAGTGTGTAGTGATGTTGAACTAACATTGAATGTATATGACCTTAATAAGAATAATAAACACAAGAATTGGAACCAACCTTCACTCTAAGTTCTTTCATTGGGTGTGGGGTCAGTAATGCCCGGATGGAGGTCACAATAGGTTCACCCTTGAACACCAAAAAAAAAAAAGATTAGACCATAAATAAAGGTACATCAACAATAATTTCAAGAGTATATACCATAATAAGGCCTTTTTACCTGCATGCCGCAAACAACTATTTGGTCTCCTTCATGAAGCACCCCATTTACTAGTATCACATCAATTGTTGTCCCATGGCCTTCAATAACCTTTACCTCCAATACGGTACACTGCCAAAGGGTAACAAGTCTAACAACACTCAGATCACTACTTTCACAATTTTTTTCTGAGAAACACAAGTGAGATATATGACGAAAGCATGCCTGGACTTCATTGCCAAGTGTAAGTCTCTCAACCATCGTCCTTTGAGTCCATTGGACAAGTAATAGCAATAAGTCAGGAATACCTTCACCGCTGTTAATTCAGAATCACCATAGCATCATGAAGTTTTTTTGTTAAGGAATGTTAGCATGGCTTTGAAAGGGAAAAAAAGATCCAAACTAAACATTATTACAACTTATAACTGATGCACCATAAACAGAAGACGGGTAAATGGAATCACCTGATAGCACTAGTGGGAACAATGCTGAATGTATCTTTTCCCATATCTTTGTTTTTATAATACAATTCTGTGTTCACTCCCTGTTCTTTGAACTGTGTCACTATCTGAAATTTTTTAATACGTCAATAGTCAGCTGAGCAAATCAATGTGAATTTAGAGATTGAGGTCATTGATAAGTACAAGTAGCTTGAGCAAGACCTGAATGACCCTTTGCTTAAATTGAAGCTTTACATCTGCATTCTGTTGTGTCATTGCCTTCTGAATAGGTGCATTACTGCAAGTTTTCCACCCATAGAGCAAGTCAACCTAATTTCAAAAGAATGATACAAAAAAACACCCTTAATATCATCATTATAAGAAAAGAAAAAGGATGACATCATCTTAATAACATACCTTGTTCAAAGCAATTATGAACTCAGTATTCCTCATCTTTAAGAGATTGAGTGACTCAATAGTTTGCTGCTTAAGTCCATGCATAATGTCCACAGCTAAAATTGCAATATCACATAGTCCTGACCCTCGAGAGCGAAGATTAGTGAATGACTCATGCCCTGGGGTGTCAATAACAATTAAACCAGGCACCTTCAGGGTAGCATCAGCTTTAAGTTCCCTAGTTCTCTCTCTGATATTCTCCGCAGGAAAGTAGGTAGCACCAATCTGTTGAGTGATCCCTCTTGCTTCGCCTTCTTGGACGTTAGTGCCTCGTATACAATCAAGGAGCTTTGTTTTCCCAGTATCAACATGACCCATAATACAGCAAATGGGAGAACGGAGGTTCCTTTCACTCTTGTCTGGCATTGCAACAGGCTTTTGTGCTTCCTTTTTTTCTTGGCCACTTTTGTCCTTGCTCTCATACTCTGGCTCCCTTATATTAGTGTCCTCAACTTTAGATACAGCAGGCACAGTTAGAGAACCTGAATCACGACCGGCTGTCTTTGCCATCTTTTTTTGTTTTCTTGCTAGAGGTTTGGGTTGGCCATCTACCTCCTCATCAGAAAATGCACTTCTACCAGGCAGTTTGAGATCATCTTCATCCCAGCTTTTTGCATCCCAATCATCACCGTCTTCATCATCTTCAATTCCATTTTCTTCAGCATCAACAGCCTCTGATTTGTCATCTGAATGCAGTGAATCCAATTCTTCGACCTTCTCTGTTTCCAAAGAGTCAACCTCGGGTATAATTTCATGCTCAGCTTCCTTCACATCACTGATTTCAGTATTGGCAGAAACAGGGTTATCATTACCATGGGATTGTTGTTTCGCCTTCTTTGTTTGGTACTTTGGCCGTTTTGTTCCATCTGTAGCAGTCTCCCCACCAGGGAGTGGTAGGCCCCCGGCATTCGTGAGTATTTGCTTTCTCATCATTTCTAATCTGCGAGCTTCTTCCTTTTGCTTTCCTGTCAGCAACTTCCCCTCTTGCTTCTTCTTCAACATTTTTTCCTTCTCCCTCTCCTTTTTTAAGCGTTTCCTTTCCTCTGCAAGCCTCTCTAACTCCTCTAGCCGGAGACGTTCTTCTTCTTCCTTCCTCAACTTTTCCTCCTCTTCCCTTTTCTTCCTTTCTTCTACTTCTTTGAGTTTTGCAAGCCTCTCCTGCATCTCTCTGACATGTTTAGGGACTTTTTTGTCACCCTTACCCTTGCCATCAGCTTTTGTTTCCTGTTTTTCCACAAACACAGGTCCAACGGCTGCTGCTGCCGCCCCCTTTTTCTCCTTTTCTTTCTCTTTTTTCTTTTTCTTCTTCTTCGCAGCTGCAGACTCCACCACCCCCTCCACTGTTTCCTTCTCGGGAATATCTTCTCCTGCTTCAAGAAGATCCTGATCTTTTTCCTCTTGTGGAAAAGAAGCAGGGTCAGGTTTTGAAGTTCGCATACCCTCTCCAAGTTCGGCCAAAATGGTGTCAATTTCATCCTCCTCTTCAGTTTTTTTTCCACCCTTCTTTTTCTTTGTTTTAGCTTTTGGTTCAGGTTCTACCTGTAACAACTCTCCAGGGGGAGGTAGAGCAGGCTTAGAAGGAATTGGTGCAGCATCACCGAGCTCAGCTAGAATCTTGTCAATTTCATCATCTTCTTGAGCTGTATTTCCACCCTTTTTCTTCTTCTTTGAATTGGCCTTCGAAATTCCAAGAGGGTCACCATGAACTTGTTTGCTTTTTGTTCCTTCTATTTCTTTGTCACTTTCAATTAAGCTCTGTTTCCCATCACTAACTGACTCTTCCTGGAGGATATTGAATGCAGATTGATTCTTCTTTTTAGAAGACTTCTTTTTACCACAAAACACAATCGTAGATGCATCATCTTCCTCTTCCTGAGCAGTGGCATCCACTTCAAATGAATCGGTATTTAGTTTATTAAAACTGGCATCATCATCATCATCCAAATAGAAAGGATTACTCTTTTTAGATGATTTCTTTTTCTTTCCTGTAAAGGTAGTAATGGGACAGGTTTCAATCTCTTCGTAGTTAGTATCGTTGTCACTATTCCCCAGTTGCTCAAGCCCTTCACACATTGATGCCGTAGAAACACTTTGACCTCCCCTCTTACTAGATTTTGTAGTTTTCTTCGGATCTCCCATTTCCAGACTGCAAAAATGTACGTAGTAGTAGATTTTCAGTGTAAAAGATATAATTCATGAGGTGAGAGGGCCACATTGCCTGATTGATTAGGCACACCATATAACTCATCTTGAACATTGTATTTGTTGTAAATTTTTCACATCCAGAATATATTCAAAAAGAGCAAATAAATCTTGTGTTTTATTGAATGTCATAGTATCCTCAACTACAATGTATCAACAAATATCATTGTATCAAATTTCTGTAATTGATGAAATACTCAAAGAAAAAGCAACTAGCCACAAGGATTTACAGATCAATAGAGGGAATTATTACTCACAAAAATTAAACACTAAATAATAAACTATCATGAAATCAACAATCAATTATGAAATTTCAAAAGAAAATTTTCGGAAGTCCAGCTCTGAAATATAATTTTTTTACGTTTTTAGCTACAAAAAATTACACATTTGATGAAAATAATAAACACACAGTAAATTAGGACTTGTTCTCCTCAGCTTATCGACTTATCTGTTGTTATATTTAAAACTGTGTATGATCTGATTCTAATAAGAACAAATAATAAGTAAAAAGAATAGGTTGAAGAGAACAAGCTCTTAGAACATCAAATGCAAAATAAACCAAATGCACGGCAAAATAGAGGCAAAATATAACAAATGTTTCTTATTCAAAATCGACTTTAGTTACTTACCTCTTTGCATGATATTTGGGGCAAAAGTATGAAACTTAAGGTCGAGATCGGATGGCGGACGTAAGGTAGACCTGGCGTGGCGTTGCGCGGCGGTCGGAATCGGACGAAGCGGCTGGAAGCGGACTGGCAGTGGCACGGCTGAATTTTTTTCAGCTGAAAGAGAGAGCGACGTAGGGTATATATGCCTCTAACAGCTAAAGAAATACGGAGTATCTGTGAAGCGGGGCGGGGCTTCAAAATTTCTCACATATTAGTGGAAATGGGTTTGAAGCCCCCAACTTCAAATCTTCATTTTTTACATTTTTAAATATACATTTTCTAAAACTAAATTAATAAAATTTAATTATTTTATTATTTAATTACGGAGTATATTGAAACATAAATAATTAAAAAAATACATTCAATAAATTTAAAGAAATTGAAACGACAATAATTTAAAAAAATTACATTCATTAAATTAAAAAAAGAAAGCGAAAATAATAATAAAAAAGATACATTAATAAAAAAAAACTAAGGTAAATTATATTTGACTTTGATCTCTTTTTGTCTTCTCTCGAAGATCATTCGTTTGAAGCCCGATAATGTAGAAAGGTCGGTTTCCATGATTTTGATCTTGTCCTTCTCCTCCTTTCGCTTCATCCTCTCTTTTTCTCGAATATTGAACACCCGAAGTTGTTCAACCATTGCCCGACCGATATCGTCGCGAGAAGAAACAAAAACAGAGCCGGACCCTCCAGAACCTGAGGCAATGGATTTTGCCTTCTTTCTTCTAATCGGCCGTGGAATGGGGTCCTCGTCATCGGAATCCGCAACGTTGAAGGTAAGCATTTGTTCGGACGAACCGATAGTGTCTTCGACCTCAACCTCGGCGTCGACGGAGGATCTTTTCTTTGACGATCCACTGTCAGGATTGTTGAGTTGTTGCCACTTCGGAGAACGACTCAAAATCCTCCAAAGATCGATGGGCACCTTGCCTTGGTTCCCGTCATCATGATACCGGGCTGTGGCAAGCCGGAGAACATCGACGTCGTTCGTCCCGCTCCTCCGGGACCGGGCGCATTCCTCGTAAACTCCGATAAACTTTCGGATTTTACGGTTGATGTGGCTCCGTTTGGAAGTGAGTTGGTCCCAGGTACGGTAGGAGTCGTCCTTGTTCATCGCCGTGAAGAACTTCTCCTCGATACGATCCCACATCGCATCCCTCGTTTGCTCCGAACCTATAACACGAATTTTTTTATAACACGATTATATATAATTTTATATAAATAAAAACATAAATATATTAGAAAACATATAATTTTTACCAACGATAGGATGCTCGGAGACGTCAACCCAAGCCGACGCCAATAAGCACTCTTCCTCCGGCATCCACTTTTGGATTGATCGTGCCGCCTCGGTCATTGTGTCTTTCGTTTTGTGGCTCTTCCGGCGTGCACTTTTTTTGGTGTCGGATGGTCCGGGTTGAGTCTCCGGAACCGACTCTCGCTCGACGTACCCCGATTGTTGCGTCTCAAACATTGGCGGATGATTCCCGAATTGTTGGAAATACCACGTCGCGTGCTCGTGAGGGTCGAGATCGTCGGGGAAGAAGTTGGAACGGGAAGGATACATGTTCAAAAGAGAGTTTGAGAATTGGAAAATTAAAGAATATTTGAAGAAGATTGAAGAAGGTTGAAGGTGTGAGAAATGGAGGTGGAGGAGTTTGAAATTTATAAAAAAATAATTATTTTTTTTTTGGTTTCAACGGTTATATTAGCCGTTGGGGGGGGGGGGTGAATCATGCGTCAAACCAATGACGCGGAAGCTGTGACGTCGCAATGAAGCCCCAGGGGAGGTGTTTAACGCCCCCTAAGCGTGAAAAGGCCAATAACGCCGGTCGGTGTTACGGGTATATCCACTGCTCCAAGGCTCTAATACAACACTTGTAACACAAGCTGTAAGAAAATCCAATTACGAGTACAGTAATTTATTTCAAATCGGAATGCTACTTATTACGGAGTATCATTTTACATCTGTGATTTTTTTATTTTTTTGATTAATTTTTGGTTAATTTTTTTAATTTGATATCAATATTTTTTTGTTACATTACAGAATGCTACTTTTTTATTAATGTTTTGAAAATATTTGATATAATAAATATAATAAAACTATTTTTGTACCAATATCTAATATCATTTTTATCTAATTTCGTATCAAAGTTTATCAACTTTGATAAAAAAAAGTCAAAAGTAGACAAATACTCAAAGACGGAGGGAGGGAGTTAATTTTTCCCCGAAACACTGATAGCTCTTTTATAATATATTATTATATTTACTTTTTAATGTGAGAGACCGAATTCCCCTAGAGTTTCGGAAATCTAATTTGTTTCTTCATAATATGTACTCCCTTCGTCCCGTATTTGATTACAAATTGAGATTTACGAGGAGAAATATCTCACTTTGTGAAATCATTTTGCTTATAAATTGGTATATCAATAAGAAATAAAAATTACATATTAAAAAATTACGTCAAAAATTCTACAAAACAAGAGATGACAAGAATATTTTATTCTATCAAATACTTAATGAAATCGCGTAAACAAACAAAAATATCGAGAAAATAGAAAAAAAATTATAATCAAATAGGAGATGGTGAGAGTATAAATAGACACTCTTTTAAGGGACCGGAATTCATTGAATATAGAGTACATATTCTCCTCGTCCCTAAGAGATTGCCACAATCAATTATCAATTATCAATCACTAAAAGACTTGTTATGAGTTAGTTTTCAAGAATCGAAGATCTGAAATATAATATTTAAGACTTAAGAATTGAATATGAAAACACATCAATTACAAACAAATACTCCCTCCGTCCATAAAAGAACTTCCCAGTTTGACCGGGCATGCATATTAATGTGTGATAAAATTTACTTTGACTTTCCTATTACACCTCTGTCCACTCCCCTGCAACTTTAGATCTACAGTTAGCCAACTCTAATTGCCAACTCCACCACCGGCAATTCTTCGCCACCGCCGACAACTCTCCAACATCGCCGCCGCCAACTTTCCGGCACCACCGGATGACCTCTCTGATTCTTCTTGCCGCCATCCCCTCCGTAATCCCCCTCCCTCGTAGATCTGTTCTAGATCTGTTTAGTATTCGAGTTTTGACGGAGAGAGGCGAGGCTAGGTGTAATGGAGATTTTGTAGATCTATGGAATCGATGGCGGCTATGTCGGAAGAGGAGCAGATCTGACCGTTGGGCACCTCCGACCACCGCCTCACTATTTCGCTGCTCGTACGTGATGGGACAAATCCGAAGGGGGGGGATGAAAGAAGAAGAAAAGAGAAAAGAACAAAGAAGAAGAAAAAAGAGAAGAAGAGAAAGATGAAGAAAAGAATATAACGAGGAACTGAAGAAAAAGAACAGAGAGAAAAAAGTTGTAGAGGGAGTGGGTGGATCAAAAGCGAAAGGAAGAAAGAAAAAAAGAGAAGAAAAGAAGAGAGAGAGGATGTGTGGACCGTGGATCGAGAGAGGATTAGAGGAAGAAGAAAAAAGATAGGGAGTAAGAAAGAGAGTAGGGTGAGGGTAATGAGGTCTTTTCGGCATTAAAAAGTTTCCAAAAAAAGAAACGAGAAGTTTATTTGTGGACGGACGAAAAAAGAAAGTGAGAAGTTTTTTTATGGACGGAAGGAGTACCCAAAATTTATCTTCCTCTTTCTTTGTTGAAAAGTTTTTTTTTGTGACTCACCTTTTTTGTGTCTCTCTTCTCTGCATCTCTTTCAAGTTTCAACCAAATAATATCACTTTTTGCTTTTTTTAAACCTCGTGAAAAGTCAAACTAGGATGATTAATTTGGAACGAAAAAATTACCTCCGTACTAATTTTCAAGAATAATGCTAGGGTGGTGTACCTGTACACCATCATCTTTCACCATACATTTTTATCTATTCATAATTATTTTTTAGGAGATGGTAGGGATATACCAAAAGTGTATCCGAAATGTACACTATACGCCTCTTTACCCTTCATTTTAATTTATTTATTTTTTAATTTTACATACAATTTTTTGTGGTTATGGAAGAAGTGAGAAATATTTGAGGTACACCCTAGCATTTTACTTTTTTTTTATCAACGTTTGAATTGTATGGTATAGAGAATTTGGAGCACACTTAAATAGACTTCTTGGTGTACTCCTGTTACTTTTGAATTTTCAAACCATTTTTTTCACCTACCAGTACTGCACCAAGACCAAACCCCAAATTCACAGGAGGGAGCTAGAGAGTGAAGGAGGAACTGAGGACGACAATGGCGGAATCGTATCTTCTTCCCTTTCTCGCAGTGATTTTAGTGCTTCTGACACCCATCTCTCAAGCAAGATCTAATTCAATCCTTCATCGGCCGCAGCCTGCTCCTCTTTCCTTCGCCGTCAATTCCACCGCCCACAACCACCAGGTTTGCAGTTTACTCGTACTACTTAAACATCCGCCATTAATGGATTCTATCTGAGTATGTTTCAACTTAATATCATGAATAATTTATCAGATCTTTATTTATTTTATTTATTTATACAGAATGGTGCCTGCTCTTTCACTGTGGATATCAGGACAAGCTGCTATTCCACCTCTCTCACCACAGACCAAATCAGTCTTTCTTTTGGGGATGCTTACGGAAATCAGGTTCTACAAGTTCATATATACGTAGTATATGTAAAATTTAAACAGATTAATGTTTAGAGCCAATAGGAAAGAATTTGAGTTGTGAAAGTCAACCACAACATACAGTAGCAGATCAGGTGCTCGATCAAATGCCCCAATGATCGTGACCGTTGGATCCGGTTACTACGGCTATATCCCAACAGGGGCAGCTGTGTGCAACACTTTGAATGGGCCCTTAATCTCAAATGTTTGATATTGAATGCCCGCGACTCTTTAAGTTTTTAGGATCACAACTGTCCAATTTCCATTTGACGGTTGCGATTGAGACGATAAATGTCTTAGCTTATGTGTTCATCTTGTTTCAAGTCTGTTGGGTAAGTGTTATTTGACTGCAATAGGCCACTCTTTGAGAAGGAAAAATTGCTGCAAAGCTATAAACTTTATTTAGATTATTCTGCTCACAATAAACATAATAAGGCATTAGTTGATAGTATAATATATACTCCCTCCGTTTGCAAAAAAACAATTCATGTTTTGACTTTTGTCAGATTTATTTTTGTACTTTGACTTTCCAATTATATCCTTAGCATCAAAGAAAAAAAAGAGACAACAACCACAACATTACCCCAGACCCCAGTGCCTCAAAGGCCCCCACGTATTGCAGGCTAAGAGGAGGTAAGATGTACACAAGACATAGAGTGGTTGTTTAGAGATGACCCATGATGATTGATGAGCGTTGAAAGTTGCATTATCTTACTGATGCTTCACTATAAAAAAGAAGCGCACATAGTTTAAAGAGTCATATTGCTTTATTCCATCATACTCCAAAGCCAAGAAAAAAAAGTAAATCTTTGGCTCTATCAACCAAGAGCATATCTGGAAACAAAGAAAAAAGAGAGACAAATCACTTAAATAACTTATTATATCAATGCAAAATGGATGGACTATGGAGTATATTGCAATGACTTTATTTGAATATATTAGTAATTTTATTCGAAAATGGATGTGTTTTGCTGAAAAAAAAAGTGAAAGAGGAAGAGTTTACAAAGACAGGGAGTTCATTTTAGTTGTATGAATTCTTAAGATTTTGGACTACATCTTTTGGAAATACTATCTATTTTCGAGTCGGGATTGGGTTTGCGTACATACATGATGCACCCTAGTTTTTGTAGGATTTTACTGGGTTTGTTGTCTTTGGTGAAATTTTAATCTCTGAATTATACTCTACTAGGTATATGCACCAAGGCTAGATGACCCATATTCAAGGACTTTCGAGCGCTGCTCAACCGATACATTCGAGATATACGGTCCATGCACGTACCAGATATGCTACCTGTACTTGTACAGGAGCGGGTACGACGGGTGGATACCGATTGACGTTACCGTCCGCGGGTATTACACATATCCCGTCACGTTCTACTACAACGTGCCTATTCCCGGAGATGTTTGGTACGGGTTTAACAAATGTTCGCGCGCCGCCAGAGGGTATTCCAAGTGGGGATGGAGTGTGGTCACCGCGTTTGGCTCAGCGTTGTATGCACTGGCTGGTCTGGGCAGTGACTAGTTTTGGAGTAAATAGGTTGAGGTTTTATAGGGCTGTTTCTTTCCAGGAATAAAGGGTATCCCATGTTTGGATTGATGATGATGGAATAATGAGGAGTAAAAACCAGCCTGGGGAATGTCTAGTTTGTGAACTACTAGATTTTATCATGCACTCTTGTATTATTGTTGTTGTTGTTGTTGTTATTATATTATTATTATTATTATTATTATTATTATTATTATTATTATTATTATTATTATTATTATTATTATTATTATTATATATACAGGTGGATTTCTTTGTTGAATGACTTGTTTATGGTTTTGTTCTCTCTTTTTTTGGAAAATTTCATCTTAGATATGGAGAAAATCTTTTGGGTCAAAATATTCTTAAACAAAGTTCTCCCGCCATCCATTATTAAATATTAATCTTCAATACTTTTTTTTGTGATTGAAGGATATTAATCTTCAATTATGTTTCACTATCAGAGCAGTGATATCTTAAGAGCAATGGAAATACGTTTGAAGCCCCGGGGCTTCAAACCGGGGTTCAAACTTTCTCTCTCTACCACGTCAGCTTTAACTTACACCAAAAATTCACTGGAAATGGGTTTGAAGCCCCGAGGCTTTAAACTGGGGCTTCAAACCAACCTTCATTTTTTACATTTTTAAATATACATCTTCTAAATTTAAATTAATAAATTTAAATTAATTTATTATTTAAATTAATCGCAATGAGACTAATGCATTAAAAAAAATTACATTCATTAAAAAAAAATTACATTCATAAAAAAATACATTCATAAAAAACTTACATTCATTAAAAAAATTACTTTCATAAAAAATACATTCATAAAAAAATTACATTCATTAAAAAAATTACATAAAAAAACAACACTACAAAGAAATCACTAATTATTCAAGCGTTTAAAGATATGTTCGATCAAATCCGCCGTTAGTGCATTGTGAACCTCTCGGCTTTGAATTTCTTGGCGGTTTCTTCGTTTCTTTTCTTTGGTGATTTCTTCGTACATAGGCACCTCTTCGTCCGGGTTGTATTGACAAATTGCAGTTATGAAGAATAATAGATGCGTACATGATATTCCTCATTTTCATTTGAGAATAACATTTCGACGGACGATCTAGAATGTGTCATTTACCCTTCAAGACCCCAAAGGCTCGTTCAATATCTTTTCTCGCCGCTTCTTGAACTTTTTTGTAGGTCTGGCGTTTAAGACTCATTGGTTCGGAGAGAGATTTGACAATCGTGTAATAATCTGGATATATTCCATCGGCCAAATAATATCCACGCTTGTAAAGCATCCCTCTAAGCTCAAAAGAGAAGTCCGGTGCGGTCTCATTAATCCAATCGTCAAAAACAGGCGATTGATCAAGAACGTTGATGTCGTTGTTCGAGCCCGCGACACCGAAAAAACATGCCAAATCCACAAGTCATTCGAAGCAACAACTTCGAGCATGATAGTAGGCTTGGGATGATCTCCCAGGGAGAATTGACCGTGCCAGTGTGACAATTTTTCCATTCCCAATGCGTGCAATCAATACTCCCAAGCATGCCGACAAAGCCGTGTTTAGCGGCATGCCTTGCCTGCAACTGCTTGATGTCGCTCGCTCTAGGCTTGCGTAAATATCTTTTATGATAAATTTGAATAATAGCTTTAGAAAATTTATAAACACAGGACCTGATGCTCCGAGCCGACATCTTCAAGTATTCGTCGAACATATCAGATGTCGTCCCGTACGCTAATTGATGGAGCGCGGCAGTGCACTTCTGGACGCTACTAAACCCGCGTCGGCCTCTCGCATCAAAGCGTTGGATGAACCAAGAAACCTCGCGTTCAACATCGGCGAGTATGCGTAAAAAGAGAGGACGACTCATCCGAAAACGATTACGAAAATCATCCGGTTTATAAACACACAGATTATTAAAGTAGTCGTTTATAGGTGAAGCGTGGGCGGCCGCTCGATCCCGGTTTAAACGTTGACGTTGGGTCCGTCGTCGGGAGGATTCGGCTTCTTCTTCTTCGCCTTCTTCCCACCATTGTATACAACTCGTGGCGAAACAACGAAAAATGAGAGCTCTTTTTTCATCGCCGGATGAAGATGACCCCATTTTTAAAATATATTTTATAAATATTTTTAATAAATAATAAATATTTTAGAGAGAAGATAGAGAGAGATGTGTGAGAGATGTGTGAGAGAATGATTTTTTTTAGGGGAATTTATAGGTTTTTTTTTAAATTTTGATTTTTTTTTAATTTTTTTGGGGGGGGATGGATATATAGCCGTTGGGGGAGGTAACGGCTCGCTGAAGCCGCGTCGAATGACGCTTCTAGGATGACGCCGGGGTAACGCCCCCGGGGGGCGGTGTTTAACGCCCCTGGGGCATTAAAAGCTCCCTCACGCAAGCGTTAAGGGTATACCTAGTGCCCTAACACTAACACTTGATGTCATAATATGATTGAGGTTTTGGCAGAATTGATTCTGTCATCAATTTATTCGTGTACCTTTATTGCACCAATTCAATTGTAACATTTACATTGTTTTGATCGTAAAATTCATTAATCTTACATTGGTGTTTCATGTATTGTGCTCAATATGGAAGACCCGAAATGACAGTGTGGCGAGGTAGAAACTCAACCCCAATAGGTACGTGGCTAAAAGCTAAAGCTCATTTTGAGGAGTGGTGGTCTTTAGTTTCGCCAATGGCAGGAACGCCAATAGGGGTCGCAAGAAGTTCATGGTCAAGACCACATGATGGATTTGTGATGGTTAATATTAATGCATCCACGGGCTTGGTTGATGATATGATGAGAGTGGGTTTCATCGCTCGCAATGACCTTGGAGTATTTTTGGCGGCTAAGAATATATCTTTCAGGGGCAGCTACGGTCCCAGTGAGGCAGAGGCGGTGGCAGTTAAGGAGGCCCTTAGTTGGATCAAATCAAAAGGTTGGATACAGGTAGAGATCGAAACCGATTGTAAGGAGGCTGAGGATGCGCTGATTAACTCTTCTGATGATTGGTCTTATTTCTCTTCAATTATTACTGATTATAAATCCCTATTGACTTCGTGCGATGAGATTTTTCATTTTCACTTTGTTTATCGCTCTGCTAATGAGGCGGCGCATGTACTAGCGCGAACTTTTCATTCACCTCAGAGCAGGGGAGAATGGAACATTTCTCCCCCTCACTTCATCATATCATTAATATAATTTTATTCCCTTTGCTTCAAAAAAACTTAGCCTGATCCTAATTGTATTGATCAAATATGAATTAAATGAATATGATGAATATGATCTAAAAGGATTTTAAAAGGTCTCTTGTGATTTCAAAAGAAGGCAACCCGAGTTAACATTCTAACGAGTAACAATCTCTATAATTTTTGTTTTTTTATTCAAAATTTGGCATCTCATAAGTAATGAGTTATATGCGCAAATAGTCCACTTGTTCTTCTGTAATTGGGTAAATACTTCTCAAATTTTCATCAGTTACAAAATAGTCCATGTGCTCAAATTTAATCCGATCTAATATGATAAAATCTGATCTGAATTTAATAAGATTACGTAATAAGCCGAAATAATATGTTGAACGAAACTGAGCCTAAGAGGTGGAAAAAGAGCCTTTCTTGCTTTTAACCACACAGACAAGGACAATTTCATTAGATTATTTTCTTTATTTTGTTACATGCTTCATATTTTTGTATAGGTATGCACGTGTTTTGTGTGCTTTGCGTTTTTCTTAAAGAAATGGACTAATTATGCAACGATTTTTGACTTGATTGGATCTATTTCATAATTTTTGAAAGTTTAATTTGAGACGGACTGATTTCATTGTTCCGCACCGACAAAATGAGGGACTTGGTGATGAATTTATATACCCAATGATTCCCCCTACCTTAATAGATAGTTTTTGGAGTTTGGCTCTTCCTTGTGTTGTACAATACACACATGTAGAGATAACGAGTTGAGTTTTGGTTAGTCGGGTGGAGTTTCTCTTATTTTTTCATTAACTCCATATATCTATCTTGATTCATCTATCATTTGTTACATACATCATACATCACTCAATTCGTTCACCACTTGTTGATGAAACAAGTGATATAGTAATATCCGAAGTGGTTTTTTTAATTATTAATTTCATGAAATGAAAAAACTAATGAAGCGCATAAGTAAAAAACAACTTAGGAGAATAACGGATTGATAATGTTTACAATTGAGTCCTGTAAAGAAATAATCTTCTAAGTTGCAGGTTAATTTATTTTTAATAATTTGAGACTTTGGACAATAGAACAAACTCAAACATTCAACCGAACTAATTTTCTAATTTTATTCTTTTCTTAAAAATATATGTGAATGACTCTCGTTATGGGTAAAGTTTACCTACATAGAACCTCACGAGATCATACTCGTGGAATTCCATTGTATTGTTCTTGTTTGTATTGTCCAAACATGGAAATCATTTAATGTTTTCATCATTCATGAAACATCATTCAATCGATACTTTTTTTTTGGCATTTCTGGTATATATTTTCTTTCTTTTTCCCTTCAAATTTGAGACATTAGGAACAATAGTGCAGAATATGTTAGACACCAGTATTCAAGATGTATTAAATTGATATTGTGCAAATTCAACACAGATGACACAACATGCAAGAAAAATAAATGGTAATAAAACAAATTACAGAAAACTTTTAGGCTTCGTTTGGTACACGAAATTCAAACTGTAGAATTGGAATTGAGGACAATAATTCCAATTCTAATGTTTGATAGCACAAAAATGTGGATTTGGAATTGGTAGTGTCAAAAATGAATTAGAATTTGAAAATTCAATTCTATCCAAATCAAGTCCATAGAATTTCAACTCCTAATTCAATTTCAATTCCGTGTACCAAACAGACCCTTAAAGTTTAGATTTTTTCTTCACAGAAGCAGTCAGGCAAAGCAGATCCCTTCCCCATCACATAATCATCCCTATGTACCTTCCAAAGGGCATCTTCCAATTCCTTCCCCACAAGGCCCTGAGAAAAAAGCACAGAATAATCTTTCCTCTTCAAAAACAATGTCCTATCCAACCCCTTGAGAGCCCTCATCGCCGCCACCATCTTGTCCATGTTCCCGAAATAGGTTGCCACGTAAGCATCACTGTTAATGGACACATAATAATCAAGCGCCGCTTTGGTGTTCCCGTGCATTTTTGTGAAATCCTCACCTTTGATCAGACCGGATTTGGTCACCACGTTCGTGTAGGCAGATCTTAGCCCTTCCAACTCCATCAGACCATCGCCAGCTGCTAAGTATATGTTTGTGTTTGTGGGGATAGAAAGGGCTTTAAGGATGATGGCCGTTTCATTTGGTGTAAGGGGACACTTCCCACGGTTTCTCCATATTCGGGCAGCTTCCCCCGCCCAAGGCTTTCGGTCACCTCGGGCAGCCTCTATCGCTTTCAAAGAAGATGGAGAAAGGTTTGGATAGTCACACTGGCTGTAAGCCACCATGTCTGGTTCAAACCGGAGGTGGAGGGAGAGGAACGGTTTTGGTATGGTCTGAAGGAGATCCGAAGCTTTCTTTTCTAATGACCCTACAAGGCGTAAGGCGTTATAACAGCCTTGACAAAATGCAGCTTTTGCATGCAAAGGGTACCTGCAAGATCAAAATGGCAATTGTTAAAAAAAATACTAATATAAAAGTGAAAGTAAGAAAACAAAAACTGCAAGATGCTCCCCCATTTATGAAAAAGTGGAAAATAAACATCACACTTCAGCGGTTTATGGGTATTTTTGGATCACGGAAAATGAAAGGGAAACATCCTAGGGAAAATAGTTTTTTACATGCTTGGGTTTACCTTAAAAAAATATGACTGATTAAATTGCATTAGAGCTTTTCGATATTTTATGTACAATCGTATTTCTAAGTCCATATATATTTGAAATATATAAGACAATGAGTTTGAACAAATATCTAAAATGGACTATTGAGTGCCCACATTTAAAAAAAATCTCAAAATTTCTTTCTTTTGGAATTTCCCATCTACTTTCCTCCATATTTTTCCCCTAGGTTTTTAACCAAAATCCAAGGGTATTGTGAATAGTCAATTTTTCCCTTCTCTTAGTTGCAATATATTTATTAATTGTCCCAATTAAGTTGGGTGAATACTGAATAAGAGTAAAAATGGAACATAAGCCATTAAAGCTTTATAAAATTTCAAACAGAAGACTTACAAAAAAAGAAAAAAACTTCACAAATTGGGAAGATAAATTCTTGAAAATCATAGCAATATATGGAACAGATATCATAATCTCAGATATGCAAAAAATCTGATACCTGTCCCTCCTTTGACTCATTGCAGGTGTTATAGCAATATAATGATGCTCCAACAGGGAAGGGAGAACATTTTCAACATAGTCAAAGACGCCTTTACGCTTGCTGCAATCAACTCGGAAAGGTTCCTTTGAAGCAATCTCGGCAGGAAGCTCTTTTACCACTTTAACAAAGCCATCCAATTGGTTGATGAAATAATCCACATCGAAGATATCTGAAAAATCACTGAGGATGGAAACTAAATGATAAATAAAAATGTCGTTTTTTTTTCTAAGGACCCATTTTGTACACAGGATTCACATTTCTTTTTCCCAATTGAGCCTGAAGTCAGAAAAAATTGCAGCATTCAGTACAAAAGTAACCATTCTCAGAATATCCCCCACCCACCCTCATTACTGTACAAGGACATCTTGGTCTTATAATCCAAATTATTCCTATTTTTCCTTCCATATTCTATAGCAACCAAATATCAGAAAAGAATCTTGGATAGTTGGATTTATATCATTCTTATATTTGTCCCCATGGAATTCTGATTCCATTGAAAATCCGTTCTTTCCATATTCCTTTTCACATACCAAACATTATATTAGGGTTTTTGTATGCTTATTAAATAACGGACTAGACCCATTTCCCTGCACATTATATGGGTTCTGCAGTATTTGGCATCCGTTTCTTAACTAATGTCTCTCCAACCATATGCCCCGTGCTTATAAGAACATTGAACTCCAAGCACAACCCATTTCCAGAACTATCATACCAACACATGTGCATGATAGAACCTACAACCTTGTTTGGAATGGATTCTTATTCTTAAGAAATACTACGTACTATGTAAGAGGATTCCTGGTACTTGGGTGTGATATCCATGGTTGGAAGTTTAAAAAAACTTAGCATCTCATATGCACATTTAAGTAGAGGACTGAAACTTAATGAGCATATTCCTTTAAAAAAAGTCAAAATTCAGATCAGGGGTTACCTTGATTCATTCCAGTATGCAGCCACTTCAAACTTGGGAAGAACAAGAGTTGCATTAAGCAAACGAGCTATGCCAACTCCATCACATAACTGCAAAACAAAGAAATATTCAAGTCAAATTCATCACCCGCTGATATGAAGCAGCAGATTAGTTACCACTTACCATCCCATTTACCAAATTGATTAATTTCTGCCCAAAACCATACAGATTTTAGCTCAATACCAGAACCCATCCAGTGCCCGATTAATACCTACCCAAATCAACCTCATTTGGGTTTGGATGTGGTATTGGCAAACTGTAATACTCATCCGCTGGCATTCTTACGGGTAAAAATGAAATGACACTTAAAACAAATTGAGGGTCAGATTTTCATTTCAGGTTATCAAGAACTTACATCCCGCCTCATCTGATTGAGCCCACCAAAACAATCCACTCTGATATAACCATTGGTCCCATCTGGTAGAGCTGCAGTTTTTCAAGACAAAAAACCATATGCAAATTCTGCATTGGAAGCCAGACAAAGTTCATAACTTTAGAAAATTTAAAATGTAAACCCCCATATAAAATATTTATCCAGACAAGTAATGCCAGTTATGAACTCCACAACCCCCCCCCCCTCCCAAATAGCATAACTTAGATAAACTTAGAGTAAATATATCCCAAAAACACAAGGCTGAGCATATGGTCATTCTATAATCTGAATATTAGTTCCCTCAATGGAGGAGGCATGGAATAAAATATACTAATATTGAGACTTAGGTTCTACCGTCGAGGACAAAATAAAATAGGATAGGAGTAGCCCAAACCTTATTTGATCATAGTTCTCTATGTGTTCATTAACCTTTGTTTTACGGATATCAGCATTTCAATGAGATTAAAGTACCAAACGTTTAATTGATATACATATGTCCAACTCTGGTATTGATAGATGAATTGGGCTGGATGACCAACAACAACCTAGTAGAATCCCACTGAAGTATAATCTGGGGAGGGTGTGTGTACACAGATCTTACCCCCACTTCAAAGTAGAGAGTTTGTTTCCAAGAGACTCCCGCCCGGCTTGAGAGACCTTATATCTATTGTTTCCAAGTAAGGGGTATTAGGCTGGATGACAGAGCCTGTTAAACAGGAGGCCTCAAGCCCTAGCCCAAGGAGGCCCAAAAGGAGAAGGCAGCTGCTACCTGCAAGCCCAAGAAGAAATCTAGAAAAGATGGCATGCTTGGCCCGCAAGCTCGGAAGACGTGCTCGGCTTCAGGGGTGGGGCAGATTTCTTCGCACCCCTGTACCCGTTTGGGCCTCCCATGTGGGCTTGGTCCAAACGTCCCATAGGTAATGTCACCTAGTGAAGTGTTGAGGTTTCAGTCCTACAGACCTAAGTTTCATGGATTCTTTAAATAAGTGCAGCTTCTCGTCTCCAAAACATTTACTTCGGCATGCCCCAACATCCAAATCCTTCAAAAGTTTTGGAAAAATTAGCACTTTCATGCTTCTGAATTCCGACCCCGTCCCCGCAAAAGTACACGTCCCTCTTTGATGGGGAAGGACAAAGGAAATGTATATATACTAAGCCTCTTCGATGGGGGAGGACGTATGCCAAACCAATCAAAATCTTACTTGCATTCTACTGTGTAATTGCTTAATTAAAAAACTCCCCGGATCCCCCGTCCATCAGGTTTCTTTCATTTTCGCGACTAGATAAAGAGCTTCATCGAAAAAGTCTCAAAAAAAAATGCTAAAACTTACCAGAAAAATTATGCTGGAGCCACCAATTGCATGGCCGCCACTCCACAAGCCTCCGGACGCTCCATATTTCTGGTCTTTCAAGTCTGATCCACGGGAAAACGGGAAATGTTAGAAAATCTGGAGACGGAATTCCGGCAAAGAAAACGCGGATCTCTGTATAACCGATTGAATAGAATCGAAATCGATTGGAAATGGGAAAACCCTAGAAAAAAACATGAACAAATCAGAACGGGATGCGTGCGAAACTTACCGCGGAGAATCGAGGGAGATTGGGGCCTGGAAAAAGGGATGCAGAGGAGGAAACAGGACAATGGCGATGAAGATGGAGAAAGTGAGGACTGTCGCCCCCAAGAATGGCTTCTTCACCGCTGACGCTATCATTTCTCTACAGAGAGTGAATTTGCAGATATGTCTTCTTTAACGAGGGAGCTCTCAAGTCATTGCAGCCGGTTTTCCCAGCTTATGGGTGGTGACTGGTGACTGGTGACCCGCCGGTTCGGGCCGAGTTTCCTCTACCAGGCCCATCCCTACTAACCTCTGACTGGTTTGAAACGGACTAGTTCTAAAGGTCAATAGGTCTAAATCTTAACATGATGAAACATATCTTTACTATTACGCTATCTCGATAATTTTTACGAGTATTTGTTTACTTATTTTCATTAATCATTTGATAAAGTAAAATATTTTTGTCACATCTTATTTTGTAAGAAAATTTTTATATCTTATTTGTTTACCAATTTGTAAACAAAATTATTTTAAAAATCACGAGGTTTTACACATTGATCAAAGAAGAATTTTTTTTAGGAACGGAAGGAGTATATGATAAAAGTACATAAAAACAATACACTCGATGAATGTTAAACTGTCATAGTGTGCCATCAAATTTGGGGTGATTTTTTAACCAGTGAGGACTTTGAAAATCCATTCCCAAATGGTGAAGTACCTGCAAACATTTCCCATCATCCTGACATTTATCTCCAACGGTGCACCTTGTACCATTTTATTGTTTTCTTTTAACATATGGGTAGTCAATCTACTGTGATCGTTAGTCTTTTAATAATAACAATAATAATAATCTTTTAGAATTTGGATATAATAATCTTTTAACATATACAAATACAAAAATTAGGTGCATGATTTATTATATTAGGTAGGAGTAGAACTAGATGTTAGATTTTATTAGGTGTAAGATAATAATAATAATAATAATAATTAATAATAACTTTTTATTATTTTAATTCTGAAAGTAGATTTTGGGGGCGTGCATGCCATTTATAACTCATAGGCAGGTAAAACTGGGGATGAGTTAATTGTGATTGGAGAGAATTGTGTTGGTGTAAGATTTTGTTGTGTTACGTGGGAGTTGTGTTAGATTGGAGTAAAATTAGTTGCACAAATAATAAATCAAAAATCAAAATATACAATAGATATTTTTAAAAGAAAATGATTCACAAGCATGCAATTGAAGACACACCTATCAAATTTTAAAAACTTCTCAAAATACCCAAAACTCATCGGTTAAAGACACAACTAACGAATATTTTAATATTTAAACACTAAAAAAAAATAATGAATTACACATATTTAATCATTGTATATTTTAAGATTAAAAATAATTTTACAACAAAAAATGGTACACATTGATATAATAAAATATTTAAATTAAATTTTTGAGTAAATTGTAGATATAGATTGTAAAATGAAGATTAAACAATAGAAAATACTGAGTATATAAAATGAATTAAAGAGATGGAGGCTAACGGTAGATCATTATCTTCTCGTTGCGCATTATGATGTTTGACTAATTTTTTTTAAAGAGATTATGGCGTGTTCTTCAATTTAAACAAAAAAAATTGTAACAAAAAGTATGGAATCCTATATTTCAGTCTTTCAGATTGATTGTAAGGTGAAAAGTGAAACACTACATCCATCTCTGAGTATTTGTTCAGTTTTAACGTTTTTCGATTAATTATTTTTAACCTTTGACTTATAATTATTTAAATATACTAATTGCATAAATTAATATTTTTAAAATTTTTTATATAACAAATCTAACAAAACTATATTTGTATCGATATTTAATATCATTTTTATTTAAATTGAGATCAAAGTTACCAATTTTGACCGAAAAAAGTAAAAAAAATTTTATATTCCTTTTTATTCTTTTTTTAATTACTTTTGAAGTATAGGGAATGTTAGAGTATTCTCATCTTTATACAAAAAAACAAAAAGACACTTATCTACAAATACTTATTGTGTGTATTTCTCTTTGACATTGAAGACATAAAAGTATAAATCACATTGAAAGAATACTACCACCACCACTACTACTATCATTCACATGGATTACACTAGTCTGAATAACAGTTGTAGCATGAGCTAAACATTGGGGAGGATAGACGGGGCCTTCCGTGGAGCCACAAGCGTTCCAGCAGTAGAAAGAGGTCCCACCGCTTCCCCGAGAAGACGAAACGAGCTCCACGTCCTTCAAGAAGATCTTCCTGCACGGGGAGGTGTCGCTGCAGGCTATTCGTATCGCCTCTGTTGTTGCAGAAGTTCCTCTGATTCTCATGAAAGCCACATTGCTTATGCCAACTGCTGAGGTCTGCGCATTGTTTGTTTAGACTAGTGTGATTCCATGTACATCTTGGGAGAAATGCCTAAGTAGGACTTGAAACAATGCGCCATATACTAAAATAGGATCTTCTGTGCTTTTATAACAAAATATGACTTATAATGCCATATAATTAATGTCCACATATAATGGCAAAAATACTGTGAAATGCCAAATTGCGGCGTTTACATTGACAAGGTTTCTATTTAGGGAATAAAAATATAGGTCTTAATTTGGTATAAGTTTCATATTTAGTCTTATTTAGATAGATTTCTTTTTTATCCAAAGGCCGTTTCGTAAGTTTTGGAGTGTTTGTATGATATGGGTTCTGAAATCTAAAAGATATTACTCCCTCCGTCCATAAATAAAGTTCCCGTTGTGCGTTACAATGTTTGACTGAAGTTATTTTCAAATCATTTTATATGAAAAATGGTATGGAATTTAAAAAAATAAAAATTACATATTTAAAGACTACATGAAAAGATATACAAAACTAGAGGTGACATGATTATATTATTTTACCCTCCGTCCCGTTTTAAATCACCCGTTTTGACTTTTGGGCATATTTAAGGAAAATAAAAAACAAAGTTGATTTTTCGAAAATGACAGTACTTTTTTGGAGGGATGATGATGAATGAAAAGATAATATGGAAAAGAGTGACTTATTTTAGATGTAGTTTAGGTATTTTACTCTTAAAAGTTTACGAAAACAACTAACAGGCAACTTATTTTGGGACGGAGAAAAAAGGCAAACATGCAATTTAAAATGGGACGGAGGTAGTATCAAATAAGACACGAAAATAGGCCAACAAAGTGAATAAAGTTTGATTTTGTAAATAGTGAATGAGAACTTTATTGTTGGATGGAGGGAGTATACGAGTTTTAAAATCTGAACTAAAAGTGTTTTGGGAGATCAGAATTGATGTTTGTTAGTGACATGCATGAGTGGTCGGTGGTGGGGGTGGTCGGGGGTTGAGGAGATATCAAACTCCTGTATTGATATCTTACAAATTTGATTCGTTTTTGCTCGAGTCTTGCTAGGTGACAGTGAGGTTCAAACTAATAACCTCTTGGTCAAAAGTGCTTTGGTATCATGTCAAAGAACCAACTCAACCAAAGAATGCAAATATAAGTAAATAAAGACACACCTGGTTTGAACATGGCTGGGCTGAATCACAGTAATATTGATCTATTATAATGGGATTTGAGACATTTTGCATCACCATATCCTCATATGTAATCTTCCTTGCAAAACCTCTCCCTCCCTAATTTAAAAACAAAATGAAACAAAGGGAATTTCCCTTGAATAAAAGAGAATAAATTCAAAAGAAAAAACAATCCTTATGACATATTTTTGAGATAGCTAAAGATAACAATACCCCTAAGTCTAAAAAAACTTTAAATTGCAAACCTTTCTAATGGGTTTTTAATTGAGGGGCATATCTGAAAAGTTTAGGGGATATGGGGTGGGTTGAAAAGTTTAGGGGATATAAACCACTTAGAGGTTAAATAGAGCCCCGTATGATCTTCAAATCACCTAGTGTCACAATACGACACCCATGTTGAGTGTCAAAAGAATCGTGTTCAACATAATTTACCTGCCATGTTTTAATCCTTGCCCCATTCTTGGTATTCGAAAGAAATGCTCCTTTTACACTAACGTCGTGCACGTTATCCCATGAATTTGATTTTCCCAGGCTTCCTACACTGCAACAGATCCATCAAGATCAAGAATCCCATCTCTTGTATGGTAAGTCATTAGGTAGAATGATAGACTTTAATGCACCGGAATATACAAAAATTACAACTGAGATAGAACTATATGAAACCCTTTGTATATTTACAAGAAAAATGAGTATTTATAAGGTCAAAGATACAATTAAAGAGGCAATCACGGTCCACTTTCCTGGGAGGGTCGGATCGGGTCCAATCCTCACATGATTATATGGGCTTTAGTGGTCTGAGCCTAAATGCAAATCAGCAAATGATAATACTGGAACAAAATGGGTATATTGGACATAACCGGTTCATATACATGGGCCGGTTCCAGGATACCCAACATAGATTGAGAGTGATACCTTATACCGTGGCCCGGCCCGCAAACAATGTTTCTAATACGAATCCGTGAGGAGTTTCCAACTATGGATATGCAGTCGTCTCCTGCTCGTTTCAGTTCATCACAACAGATGATCATAAGCAACTAAATATCAATCAAACAATGGCAGTTGGTATATGTTGTTAAAGAGTGTGAGAATAGTCTAAAAATGCATGAACTGTACAAGAACTGACCCGACCTGTTTTTAACCCAAAACCAGACCCATAAATACTAAGTTTTTGAGTAAAGAACCAAACATGATCAAACCTGAAATAACCCGCTAAAAATCGATCAAACCGACCGTTTCAAAATCATTTTTCTTGGTATGAAATATAATATGATAAAGCTATTGTTATAATATTATTTTTTTTCTTTTTACTCTTTCTTCGTGTATAAACTTACCATTTCAAAGAAGTTTTTATTTTATATATATATGTGTGTGTGTGTGTGTGTGTAACTTTATGCAAAATGCAAATGCTAGAATAAATCTAAGTATTCTAAAATTAAAAGGTCATAAACACGCATTTCTTAACTCGAACCCAAAAGAATTGAACCAGAACTTAACCTCACCGACATGTTTGCGGGCTAAAGTTCTAAATTAGCATTTTCATAAACCAAATGCCTTGAGAGTTCTTTTGAAATGGGCCAACAACACAAACCTG